GTAGTGCGAAGTTTACAAGATGCCAAAGCTACTTAACAGTCGTTTGAACAGGAAAGCGGTAATAATAGCCATTTTTGTCCCTTAAGTGCTGTCAAGAAAGTGAGTTTTGTCGATGTAAATAATAAATATTTATATATTTATAATTGCTGTGCTGGTCAAACTTAATCAGGTGACTAAAAGTTTATTTGGTATGATCTATATTTGGTGTACACTCACAGGGAGTACAATAATCTCAAAGTTAAACCCCATATAGCACGTCCAAATGAAATTACGTTTCTACAAGGGAGACACATGAGCCACAATATATGTTAAAGTGAACCTAAGTGTTCATCTAGTTCTAACATATATACAGGGTGGTCCGAACTGTATTCCGGAAACTTCAGCAGCATATTCTGCAAATAAAAATAAGTAAAAAAGTTCGTATAAATGTATGTCCTAAGATGCTGAGTTTCGGAGATACAGGGTTTAGAAGTTTCATTTTTATTTCCATGTTTTATAAATAATTTAATTTAAATATATATTATATTTCAGAAATCTGCCTAAGGCTTAGCCCGATCCTGTCGTGTTAAGCCACATCCAAAATTCCAAACACACATGCTCTGATTAAGGCTTGATTAAGGTTTACAGAGCTTCAGCATTTGTCATAAAATAGCGAGTAATTTGTTACAAAACCATATAAATTATATATCACTGTAATCACAAAACTTCAAACTATTTCCGTATTGTAACAAAATTTTAAATTATTTCTTTTTGTAAATAAATTCAGTTTAGAAAATTCAGTCCAAACATAGCCAAAAGGAAAACCAAGGAATATTTTGTTGATGTTTGACCATCAAAATCTTAAAAATAAAGAAGTTGTCTAAAAATGTGCTACAATACGGATATAGTATAATCCTTTATCTTTAATTTCTTTCTTCATTTGTCATTGACTAGTGAAATGGACTCTTAAGTAAAATTGTTTTATGTTTTTATAATCTATCTGTACATGATCCACTTTTTCTTACAACATAACCAAATTCAGATTAACTAGAATATAAATGTAAACAACATATTATTATGTAGAATAGAAAACAAATTTCTTGCAGTAGAGGTATATAATAAAATTATATAAGGATTCTTGCCACTTAACTGCTAATATAGAAATTTAATTCTACGCTGTGTTTGTCATAATGCGGATCAACCTGCTCTCACTACCGGTTTCGGAGCCCTACTCCATCATCAGGTGAACTTGGGAGATCCACAAAATGACAACCACAGCGCAGAGATAGTTCCGACTTCGTCGGAGTCGGTTGTTGCCCGAACGGAGGTGTTTCGCGCACAATGGTAATACCGAGGCGTAACTATCGATAAGGATGGTAAAAGGCTTTTTTTCAAGCAAGCCAGTTCATGTGGACAGAAAATGTTTCTGCAGTAGAGGTATATAATGTAAATATTTCCTGTTACTTAACGTTAACAGGTAGTTCTACGCAGCGTGATACCTGCTTCACTGCTTGGAGCCTCCATCATCAGAGCTTGGGAGATCCACAAAATGACAACCACCAGCGCAGAGATAATTAATTCCGACTTGTCGGAAAGTATCGGTTAGATGTTAAGTCCCGAACGGGAGATAGCGGCCTGCGTACAATGGTAGTACTTTCGTACCACCGAGGCGCAACTATCGATAGTAAAAGGATGGTAAAAGGCGTACAAGTCGGAATTAACTATCTCTGCGCTGTGGTTGTCACTTTGTGGATCTCCCAAGTTCACCTGATGATAGAGTAGGGCTCCGAAACCGGTAGTGAGAGCAGGTTGATCCGCATTATGACAAACACAGCGTAGAATTAAATTTCTATATTAGCAGTTAAGTGGCAAGAATCCTTATATAATTTTATTATATACCTCTACTGCAAGAAATTTGTTTTCTATTTTATAATTTGGCTTGCCTGAAAAAAAGCCTTTTACCATCCTTTTACTATCGATAGTTCCGCCTCGGTGGTACGAAAGTATTACCATTGCACGCAGGCCGCTATCTCCCGTTCGGGATTTAATATCTAACCGATACTTTCCGACAAGTCGGAATTAACTATCTCTGCGCTGTGGTTGTCATTTTGTGGATCTCCCAAGCTCACCTGATGATGGAGTAGGGCTCCGAAACCAGTAGTGAGAGCAGGTTGATCCTCATTATGACAAACACAGCGTAGAATTAAATTTCTATATTAGCAGTTAAGTGGCAAGAATCCTTATATAATTTTATTATTATTATGTAGTCCCTATACTAACATACTACATAACTATTGTAAATATTACAGCAGTTGAACGGGTATACTAAAATATAAAAAATAAAGGCAATAAAAGTTCAAAGTCATTTTTTTTATTAGATTAATAATAAGTGAAAGAGATAAAATAATTGTTTGTGATCGTTTAGACAAATTTGTGCCACTGAGAAATTTGACTCCATAACTTCTAAAGACACTTATTTTTGACATAAAATATACATTTATAAATTTAACTATGTCAGTAATGATATGAGATGTAATTCTCAATTTCGCAATATCATGGATATGCTATAGAACTTAAAAAGAATATTTACTATACGAAAGTGTTATTTGTATTTTTATAGTACCTATCTATTTTAATGGTTCGGTATATGGTACAGGGTGTTAATGGATACTAAATATAATTTCAACATGCATTTGTTACAACATTTTTATAATCTATCTGTCTCTGATACACTTTTTTTCGACTACCATGTCCAAATTCAAAACTTCAATTACACAATTTTATGGACATACTTTTTCATAATCTATCTGAACCTCGTACGCTTTTTGGACTTATATTCGACCATATTCGTAACTTCAATTAAAGAATTTTATACACATATGCAACTAACTGAAAGTAAAAAAAATCTTATTGTATTATTTTACTTATCATTCCTTGATGAGTGATATATTCACCTGTCTATACTAATGACTATAATATGTAATGATATATACATCACATCGTAGAAGAATAAGGAAGTGTCAATTACAAAATGAGCAACAAAACGCAACAATTGATATTACAATGCAATTCCCTAAGAAGTCAAAATACTCATTTATATACTGTAATAATAGTTATAATTCATGGTACAAAGAATTCAAGGTATGATCGATAGCGGCTCCAATTTCGTTCATTTCGCGCATACCACCTGTGACGTCACTAGGAAAATGAGGAATAAATAAAAAATAAAGAAAGTTGACAGGAGATCTGCATTTTTTGGGGTTATGGTTAAGAACGTTAAGAATTGTTTATTTTTAAGACTTTTTAGTTCGTTTAATTTAATAATTACTAAAACCAGCAGTTCCAACAAAATATATTTAAAAATAATAATTATCTATTAACATGGATTTGGACTTTGGACCATAATAGGGTAAGAATACTAAATTTATTTCTATATTCGGTACCTATAAAATTGTTTATTAGGTTTTTAGTTTGCGATGTTTATGGTAAATAATTTTCATGTTCATTGCCTCTGATTTCACATGAGGACAGAGATGAGGATATATATCTGTACCCCAGGATAAAAGTGTACTAAGTCCAAATTATCGATTTTTGGGAAAAGCCAATTAAAGAGTTATTTTTGCAATTTTGTTATTTTTCCGATTTGTTTATTTTATTAGAGCATTCAAAATTTTTATAGGAGAAATATTACTTATTATTAATAGGTACCCAATACAGTTTTAAAGAAAGTGAGTTTTTACTTGGGTTTTTTGGAGTTAGATTTTTTTTTGGACTTAATATTATTTTGTTACAATGTTATGTGAAGTAATAGGACTTGATACTGACATTGTTTTAATACAAGCTAGAGAAACAATGTGTTAAGTAACAGTACTGCTTTAAAAAAATGTCATTTTTTGAAGTTCGGTGGTAGATTTCACCGATCAAAACTAAGCTTCTCTAATGGCCTAAATTTCCGATAGATTTTTGAAATTTATTAACACTAGGGATTTTTAATAATTAAAAAATTAAAGTCGAGTCATCCAATTTCGTTTAAATAAAAGTAATGTAACTCTTTTCAACAAGATTTTAATAGTAAATTTAAGGTTCAAACTAAAAACATAAAACGTATTTTTCTTTAAGTGTACCCACAGGTGCTCAACCATACTTCATTAATTCTCATCTTCGTGTTGACCATCTTCTACATTTGCGTGCTTTAAGTTTTGTAAAATTCGTGAAACTGTTTTGGTATCCACTTTAACAATGTTTGAAGATGGTTAAATTTTTTTGAAGATAAAGGATTAGCTTCAAATCTTAAATTTGGAACTTCTGCGGGGAATGTTGCTCTTCTTCCGGTCCGAATTAAATCGATCGATTGGAAATTCATAGCACCAAAGTTGGTTTTAAAGTACAAAATTCCATGGTCTTCTGCACGCACTTGTAAAACTACAACCTTTGATATAGCGAAGTCACTACCTGTGCTATCTTTTTTTCGGGATATAAATGGCGCCGTAGAACTGCAAAACAATTGCTTAAAATCTTTAAAATCCTCTATTTCCATGTTTATGATTTCAAAGGGATTATTTATGCTGCACACTCGTGCTATTTGCTGTCAATCCAATGGCGTCATTATTTGAAAACCAACAGTCTTTTTTTTCTCGCGCTCAATTAGGGAATGACATGCGTCTACCTCTAGATGAGTATGGCCTCTCAATAAGAATTTATGCTCAATCCTTTTCAAAGATGGAAATTTTTTGAGAAGATAAAATAAGCCATTACCATAATTAAATTTCTGGTTCTGGGATGGGCAGTTATCGGACCAGATAATTAGATTTTCGTGAGTTGGCTTTATATTTGACATTGCCCATTTTAACATTCCAGAAGCCATCTCATTAGCACCACGCCCAGATTTAGATTCGTCCCACATTACACATGTAGTGACTTTGTTGGTGACATTGTAGACGGTATAATTGTAGGTCCATAATTTCAAACTATAAAAGCTTTGAGAGTTTGTTAACACTGGTGTAGGAAGACACTTCTGCATATCAACACAAACCATTATGCTTTTTGAATTTATCTTCCAAATATTTTTGTTTATCTTCTTTCTTCAACTTATACCTCTTTGAAGCTTCTTCTAAATGTAAATCATATTCCTTCTGCAAAGTTTCCTTTTCTACTATACTAGGTTCCTCACGCAATTTTATTAAAAAATGATCACATTGATCGCAAGTGTCATTATCTGGGTATTTGAAGGAGAGGTTAAATTCCGTATTAAAAATTTCAGCATATAACCATTCTTTGGCGATATGAGGCTGCTCTACATTAATTTCCTCACACTCTGCTTGATACATTCTGTACATTTTTGCGATGCTTAAATGACTTCCCAAAAATTTTCTAGCAGATCTTTCTCGAGAATAGTGCGATTCCTCAACTGGAAACTTCTCTATGTGCTCACGAACATGTTGCTTAACGAATTCAGGCGTTTTGGCGTGTTGGTCATGTTTACCTCTCCCATCTGCAGCAATGATACCGCCGGGCTCTTTTTTGTTTAAAGCAGTGGTTATAAAAGTTTGAGAAATATTTAAAGTATTATGAAAAAACGTCCGGCATACACGAACGGTCAAATCATTCATTTCAAAATAATAATTTCTGGTATGACTTCTAGCATCATTTCTAGCTCCGGTCCTACGCCTCTTTCTTAATATTGGGACAACTTTTACATGGGATGCGACGAACTGTCTCTTTTGGTTTATGTCTTTAGTACCATCCCAAAACCTGGCATGAATGTTTAATCTCTCCTCGTGGCAAACTTTTTCACTGCATTTAAGGCGGCAAGAAATATTACAAGGCGGACCTATGGTTTTTTTAGAGATCACCTTCTTTTTTGATTTATGTTCTAAACCAGAAACTACTTTCATGTGTTGTTCATTGATTTTCCATTTTTTTTCTTGTCGTTTCCGCTTTCTACTCTTCTTATTATTATTTTCATTCCTTTGACTTGCAGTGCTGTCACTCGAGTGATGTGAAAAATCGTTGTCACTTTCATAATTTGGATCTAATAAACTATCATCATCTGACTCTTGCAATTCTGTTTCGTCTTCCATAATATTAGTAAGGCCTATCATTTGTTCCCTCTTATCGCTTGTATAAATAGTTAATTTAGACCTGCAGGATGGGCCATCTAAAAGTGCAAGAGTATTAGGCCGCATAAAACAACGCAACTAGAATACAATACCTTCGGCCTCACTGTGATATTTTTCATTTCCGTTACCACTGGGCAAGTTTTCATTTATACAGGATAGACCTTCTAAAAGTGTAAGAGTATTAGGCCGCATAAGGCGTCGCAATTAGAATACAATACCTTCAGCCTCACTGAGATATTTTTCATTTCCGTCACCACTGGGCAAGTTTTCATTTATACAGGATGGGCCTTCTAAAAGTGTAAACGTATTAGACCGCATAAAACGACGCAATTAGAATACTATACTTTCAGACTCACTATATTTTCCATTTCCTTCACCACTGGGCATATTTTCATTTATGTTGACTGTGTCAAGATACTCAAAATCGGCTACTGTATAACTAATTTCTTCTACCGGAATTTCGCTATTTCGGGTCTCTAAAAGTCAAGTTGGTGTTAAAAATAGTAAAATTAAAATGGCACTATACCTTTAATAATCCCATTTTCAGGTGCTACAAGCTATTTCTACTGCAATTATTATTTTTTGCTCAATTATTAATTTTATTTTGAGGTTAGGATAACTTACCATCAGAATTTTCAGGTAGTTTAATACTACTTCCTTCGTTTTTCAGCAGACCCAGAATCCTTTTGCTTCTTGAACTCATGCTTACAAGACACTCTTTCTATTAAAATCACTAAACAGGAATAAATTATTGTTTATGCTTATTAACCACTGATGCACTTCATGTCCAACAAATAACTGCCGATATTTGGACTTAATACTGTCTATGCCATCATAACATTAGACAAATATGGACTTAATATTATATTTTTTCACAGGTGCCGGTAAGAAAAGGGTTCTATTCAATTTAATATTGTTTTCTTCCGGGACATATTGTGACTTAATACGGTTATAAAAATGTTATTTTGTTTAATATTGTAGATAGAACTTGATACGGTTTTGCATATTAAAGTGAACTAAATATTTCACATAATGCAGCAAAAATCCTATTTTCGAGAAAAGTGGACTTAATACACTTTTATTCTGGGGTACAGATATGGAAAAGTAACCACAAGAGGAATTGTTACATCATTTAAAAAATGTTGGGAATTTTATTGTTTCCCATCGAAAAGTAGAAAATGCCAATGCAGATGAATGTATTGTAATTGTGATAGAAGTAATTCTAAGGATGAAGTTTATTGTAATTAGTGACCTGTGCTTCTTTTTATATGTAGATGTTTCAGGTTTTGAGAATAAATCGGTTGAACGAAACCCAAAATTTAGAGGAAGTATTTGCATACCCAGAATATGCCCATCAAGGATTATATAGCTCAAATTTCCTTTAATGGTAGGCAATTATTCAATGCAAATTAACTTTTAAGTGACTGAAATATTAAATAGTTTACAATATGGTATATCATTAAAAAATATATTACTTTTAGGTACAATTAGGGCCCGATATATTTCAAAAAGTAGAATATTATTTTATATTAAATGAGGTATTGTACCAACAATCAATTTATATTAATACCGGAGATTAAAAATAACAGAATAAATAGTTCTTTTTTTTATACTACAAAAAATAAACTAGAGAATACAACAGTATTTAAAAAATAAATAAAAAGTTATGTCCCGGCCGAGATTCGAACTCCGGTCTCTCGCTTCCTAGCCCGACTCCTTACGCACTGCTCCACAGTAACTTGCTTAGCGATAATTCAATGACGGTATATAAACAAAAAAACAGGTTTATAACAATATCTTGACGATTTGAACTGGCGCGCGGAGCGTGCTGACCAATAGCGCCTGTTATCACCTGTGACGTAGCGACCAACCTGCGCAATATCATACCTTGTATTCTTTGTACCATGGTTATAATTGGGGTAATAAACTGTTTTTTTGCGCAATGAAATTGTTTTTTGAACAATTTTATACACATATTGCATCTAATTGAAAGTAAAAAAATCTTATTATGTATATTATACTTATCAAACTCAAAAGGTACAAGGATATTATCCATGAAAACTTAAAGGGGATAGGTATGCAAAATAAATAGGAAGAAGCAGCGCACAATAGAACGCAATGAAGAATAATTGTAAACTCAGTTAACAACAACCAAAATGTAAAGAGGCAAAAAAGCAATGAGTTTGTTAAATGTCCGGAATAAGGAAGAGAAATAACATCAAGTATCGGGCTTTTGAGTCACAGAAAAACTCATGAAACGCTTTGCGTAACCATCTTCTGATGCGTGTCAAATACTCGTCATGGAGTAATGGCAGTAGTAGTAGTAGTAATGACTATAATAAATATGTAATGATACGTATATCACATCGTAGAAAAATAAAGAGACGTCAATAACAATTGAGCAACAAACAGAACAATTGTTATTAGAATTTAGAATGTCATTCCATTAGTAGTCAAAATACTCATTTATACGCTTTAATAAAAGTTAATTATTGAGTTAATAAATTGCCTTATATTTTATAATCACTCCTGAAACGTCCTCAAGTGTATTCTATTTCGCAAACTGAGGATTTCGGTGTCTGGAGGCATAAATTATTTTAAATAGAGAGGCCGGCGCCGGCGGCGGCATAGACAAATGCATCACTTAACATTCGTATGCGACGTGACTGCGGATGGAAGAGCGATGCTAACAGGGTGGTAACATTTTATAATTTTTTTTTCATAATAACTATGTTTTTATTATAGATATCTTTATGAAACTTGTCTCAGACACACGTCGTCAAAACTAATTTCAAAAAAATAAAGCGTATGATTTCACAAACAATATTTATTATACGTAAGTGTTATTTGAATTTTTATAGTACCTAGGTCCTTATTTTAATCTTGCAATATATGCGTATGGCGTTGATGGATACTAAACATAATTTCAACATACTGTGATATAAAATTTTCATAATATATTTGTATCTTGTACATTTTTTTCGACTACTTGTTCATATTCATAACTTAAATTATGGGTATTATGGGTACAGGGTGTTGATGGAAACTAGCATAATTTCAATACATTTTCATAATCTATCTGTCTTTGATACACTTTTTTCGACTACTTGTCTAGATTCAAAACTTCAATTACACAATTGTAAGACATATTTTTTCATAATCTATCTGAATCTCGTACACTTTTTTCGACTACTTGTCCACAATTCATAACTTCAATTAAACGATTTTATACACATATTGCAACTAACTGAAAGTAAAATAAAATCTTATATTATTTTACTTATCATTCCTTGATGAGTAATATATTGCCTGTCTATAGTAATGAATATAATATGTAATGATATATACATCACATCGTAGAAGAATAAAGAAATGTTAATAACAAAATGAGCAACAAACAGAACAATTGTTGTTCCAATACCATACCTTTAGTAATCAAAATCCTCATTTATACACTTCACAAATATATAATAACTACCCTGTACCAGCGACTTCGTTCGCGTCGAATTAATCATTTGTAATGGTGATGGTAAAGCAAAGCAAGAATTTCCATTAATAAGAAGAGAAAAAACAATATGGCGATATTATTATATAACTTGGTAATATTTGAGGGGTAATTTCATCTCGTTGGAATTTGACATTCGAAAAATCCGTTTGCCAAAAATGCCCCAACTTTTTGGAACACCCTGTATGAGTTTTTAAAAAATTTCAAAATATGTAAAAAAACCAAATAAATTATGCTTGTCCAAGCGTTTTCCCGAAAAACTAACCGTTTTTTAAATAACAAATATTGTAATATTTGAGGAGCGTTTTCACCCTCTTGGAATTTGAGATTCGAGAAACCCCCCCTTATGGCCTTAGACCACAGATGGTGCACTGGCTGTACACTAGAGTGGTGAGGCTTTCAGTAACATATGCATCCTTGGTATGGTGGCCTAAGGTAATGCAACAAACAACAATGCTCAGCCTCAGCAAGGTGCAAAGACTTGCTTGTCTGAGCATAACAGGGGCGATGAAATCAACGCCCACTGCATCAATGGAGGCGCTTCTGGACCTTCCGCCTCTTCACATAGTGATCCAGGCGGAGGCAAAATGGGACTCTATCGACAACAAAGTGTCTTGTCTCTGGGAAATAGGACAGAAACAGGACACTCAAAGATGGGAAATCCTATCGGAGGACCTCTACTCCAAATAAGATCGGACCAAATGACCCCTCTTTATCACTATCACAAACCATTCGAGGTGAACAAAATGGATCGAGGAATGTGGACAGATATAACATTCCTTCAGGATGGACTAACCTGGTATACAGACGGGTCAAAGACCGCTGAAGGAACAGGAGCTGGAGTATTTCGGGAAAGACCAAGGGTAAGTTTATCGTTTTCCTTGGGTAAAGACTCAACCGTATTCCAGACAGAAATCTTCGCCATTCTACGATGTGCGAAAGAAAACAATAGAAGAGCTTATTCAGATAAGCTCATCAATATATGCTCAAACAGACAGGCGGCACTTGGGGCGCTTATGAGCCCAAAGGTATCGTCGAGACTCGTCTGGGAATGCCTAGGTGAACTGGAAGCTATGGCTCGACGGAACAGAATTAAATTATTCTAGGTGCCGGGCCACAGCGGCATCCAAGGCAACGAAAAAGCCGATGAGCTAGCTAGGCAAGGATCATCGGCATCTTATCTTGGTCCAGAGCCAGTACTGGGAATACCCAAATGTATGGCCCGTAGTGCACTAAAACTCTGGATCAGGAAAAAGCAGAATGTCCACTGGAGAAACCGACACGGGCACAGGCACAGCAAGGCTTTTATCCAAGGACCTAGCTCCAAAACCGCAAAAGAACTGCTAATGCTTAGCAGGAATAAATTGCGGATTACAACAGTCCTCTTGACAGGACATATGGCTGTCAAGTGTTACCTGAACAAGCTCAATCTGTATCAAGGAAGTCTTTGCTGCAGACTTTGCGCTAAAGATCCTGAAACAGCGGAGCACATAATATGTCACTGCGAGGCTCTGGATCGCAAGCGACACTTTTTATTTGAGAAAGCTAGGCTAGAACCGGAGGAACTATCATATCAAGGACCTGCATAAGTTAGTGCAGGGCACAGGGATAGGAGAATGGGTGCAGATATAAAAAGGGGACAAATACAATAGGCCTCACAGGTCGCAGTGTTTCCGGCAGAGGACGGCCGTTATTGTGGAAAAAAGAAAAAAAACCTTATCGAACCTCTACACCCCACAGTCAATCCGTTTGCCAAAAATCAGCTTTAAACGTCAAGTAGCAGAATCGTGATTACTCAGTGGTCATATTTTATGAAACACCCTGTATAAATTTATAAAAAATCTTAAAATATGTAAAACAACAAAATAAAATATACGTGTTTAAGAGTTTTTTCGAAAAACTCACCGGTTTTTAAATAAAAAATATTCTAATATTTGAGGGGTGGTTTTGCCCCCTTCGAGAATTCGAGTTTCGAAAAATCCCTTCTTATCGAACCTCTACACCTTAAAGTCAATCCGTTTTCCAAAAATCAGCTTTTTACGTCAAGCGCTTTAAGCAGGATCGTGATTAATCAATGACCAGATTTTTCGAAACACCCTCTATACATTTTTTAAAAATATTAAAATATGTAAAAAAAACTAAATAAAATATACGTGTTTAAGCGTTTTTTCGGAAACTTGACCGTTTTTTAAATAAAAAATATTGTAATATTTGAGGGGTGGTTTCACCCTCTTGGAACTGGAATTTGGAAAAAGCCCTTCTTATCGAACCTCTACACCCTAGAATCAACCT